TGCTGATGCTTCCCAGCTTCTCTCCTGATCTCCAGAACCGTCCTCCTACCCACCCCCTGGACGGCGCCACCTGCATCTCCTGCTGGAGTCTCAACCTTAATCTCTGCAACACCAAACTCATTCTTTTCCTCCAACTCTGCTGCTGCTAAGCTGTGTCGCCAGGGCACAATTTGGGGAACTCTTTGACGTTCAGTTTCTGTACCTGTGAAGTAGGAAGAATCCCTTATGGTGAGTTCAAGATGAGAGCACATAGAAGGATGGCAGTGCCTGCAGCTGGCACATCACAGCACTCGGAGCAGTCACCTCCTGTTGTCCCCTCCTTGGCCCAAACTGCTCCTCTCTTAGAACAACATCCTTCTGCCAGCTCTCAGCTACCCAGGACAGAGACTGAGACTTCCACAGCTCATCGGCTGCTAATCTTGGTAGATTCTCCCTCAGAAACAGCTCTCACGTTTGCCCTATCGAACTGTGAGGTTCAAGTCTTCATCCCTTTTATTTTTTAATTTTTATGTATTTTTTTAGAGACGAGATCTCACTCGGTTGCCCAGGCTGGAGTGCAGTGGAGTGATCATAGCTCACTGCTGCCTCGAACTCCTGGGCTCAAGCGATCTCCCACCTCAGACTTCTTAAGTAGTTGGGACCACAGGCACAAGCCACTATGCCCGGCTAATTTTTTTTTTTTTTTTTTTAATTTCAGCATATTATGGAGGTACAGATGTTTAGGTTACGTATGTTGCCCTTGCCCCTCTTCCCCCCCCAAGTCCGAGTTTCAAGTGTGTCCATCCCTCGGATGGTGCACATTGCACTCTTCGTGTCTGCATATACCTGTCCCCTCCTCCCCCCTCCCCCCTCCCTATGCCCGGCTAATTTTTAAATTTTGTGTAGAGACGAGGTCTTGCTCTTGCTCTGGCTGGTCCCAAACTCCTGTTGAGGAGGGTGCTGAGGATTCTCAAGTGACCCTCCTGCCTCAGCCCCAAAGTGCTGGGATTATAGGTGTCAGCCACCACGCCTGGCCCTTCATCCCTTTTTGTCTGGCCAATTGCCTTGGCCTCCTTTTGCCAGTTGGTGGCTGCAGTGACCCTTCTGGAACAAACCATAATCATATCATACCCTCCCTGAAAATTCTACGATGGCCCCTGGGATCTGGCCAAATCTCTCAGCTAAGTTATTTAGTACTTTCCCCCTTTAACCTCCCCTCCCTCCCTCTGTCCTGCAAATCCTACGCACACCCACCCGCACACCCACCCCCACACACCCATAGTGTGCTTTTGAGCCCTGCACGCCTGCTTCGTCAGCCCGAGTGTCCTGCCCCCACCTCACACTTCTGCCTGGCAAGCAACACTCATCCTCCCTCTGGGACACTTAGTCATTTCTTCTAACATGCACCCACCACGCTTGGGAAATGCTTCAGTCATTTCTTTAGCAAACACGCCCACCCTGTGCCAGACAATGTTCCCAAGGATTTTGCAAAATACAAACTCTTTTATTTTCATAACAATTCTAGGAGGTCATTGTTATTAATATTACCCTGTTACAGGGGAGGAACCTAAGGCCCCTGAGAGGTTGAGTCTCTGGCCCACCAGCACTTAGCAGAAAGTGGCAGGGCCAATATTGGAACCCAGGTGTGTGGCCCCAGAGTTTGGGCTCTGATTCACTCTGCTACGTGGCTTCTCTGATGGGATAAGTATCATTAAGCATATACTATTAAACTAAACAATATAAAATTGCCAAGATTTGACTGTTTTTGACCTATAAAAGCAGAAAATTTGCATGATTCAGTGTGCTAGGCACTTGGGATTGAGCAAAAAACTCAATGGACAGATACAGTCTTTGCCCTTAGAGAAGAAACATCTATAGAGTATGATAGTGGGGAGCTGAGAGAGCCTAGGGCCTAATTTGTGGGGAGGATCTGTGGGGGACCCTGCTGAGGATGTTTAAGAGAAGACCCCAAAGAGGAAAAGTTTGGGGATAAGGGCAAGAGGGTAAGAGAAGATGCTTCCAGGCAGAGGCACAACACTGGAACCGCGTAGGCTAAGGCCTGAGAGGGGAAAGAGCTGCCCAGGCTGTCAGCAGCATGTCCCAGCAATTAGCACCTGGCACAAAGCAGGTGCTAATAGGGATTTGTCATCTCTGGCCATACCACCCTGAACACGCCTGGGCTTGTCTGGTCTTGGAAGCTAAGTAGGGCTGGGCCTGGTTAGTACTTGCTCGGGAGATTGCCTGGGAATAATGGGTGCTGTAGGCTTGAAAAAAGAAGGGAAATGAAGATGAGAATTTGTCAAAAGAATTGATGAAAGATGGAAAGAAGTTAAGAGAGCTGGAGCTAAATGCCATGAAAATCGGGTTTTCAGCAGGAGAGTTATCAAAGCAAACCAGAGTTGGACAGCAGTTACAGCAGTGAAAACATATTATTTGGGACTGTGGCAGTAGGTTAGAACTGGACTCAATCCCGAATACAACAAGGACAAGTGAGGATTATAGCCAAGGAGCAGGGCGGGGGACAGTGGGTGAGAAATTACTAAGAGGAAAGGTCAGGGGCAAGGGGGATTCTGGCTAAACGAACCTAGCAGGAGTCTTGCTGAAGGCAGACCAGGGTGATCAGATGTCACCTGGGGGAAGGCGGAGGATGAGGGGCCCGATCAGATATCGAGGGTGATTAGATACAGAGGATGGGGGATTCTGGCTGAACTGACTTAGCAGGATTCTTGCTAAAATTGGACAATGCAGAGGCAAACACAGAAGCCCAAACCTAGTTAAAAAAGAGTTCAGGGGAGCCTGAGTAAGGTTTCCACAGGGAGAGAATCTTGGAGTGAGCCACTCAAATTTACTTTTTTATTGTTTTATTTTAAAAGCAAATTTAATGAAGTATAGTTACAGGCAGTAAAATTCATCCTTTTTTGTATGCAGTTCTATGAGTGGTGACAAAGCCATCAGTTGCTCAGCTGCCACCCCAGACAAGATACAGAGCAGTTCAACACATCCTGAAAGTCCCTTGTGCTGCCCCGGTGGTCAACCCCTCCTGGGGTCCACCCCAGGCAACCACCGGTCGGGTGCTATATGAATGGAATCATATAGACTGTAGCCTTTTGAATCTGGTTCCTTTTACTTAGAATAATACATTTGATACACGTCCCTATTGTGTGTATGTGGAATTGGTTCCTTTTTTAATGCTGAGTGGAATTCCATTGCATGGGTGCATCATAGTTAGTTCATCTGATACTTAACAGTCGAAGGATTTGAATTCGATTTCAGAAGAAAGCACTGCACCTAGTTTGCACGGGGTCAGGTCATGTGGGGTGGGGTCTGCATCGCTGCTGTGTGGTCACGGGCCTTTTCCCTAGCTGGGCAGAGCAACAGCGACAGGTGCTATGTCTGGTCTCCCGGCACCCAGCCTGGGCGGGGCTGGCTCTCCATGGAGAAACGGAGCCCTGTGGGGCAGACATGGGACAGCGTGTGGGGAAGGAGGGCCCGGTGCTGTCACTGTGGACTGCGGCTCAGAAGAAGTAGAGCAGTTGAGCGGGAGGGTGCAGGTTGGGTGCTTGGCTTTAGGGAAGGAGGGTCAGATGAGAGATTGATTTCTGAGACCAGAAGAGAGTGTGTGTGTGTTTGTGTGTGTGTGTATTTGTGTTTGTGTGTGTGTGTGCAGAAGAGTGTGCGTGTATGTGTGTGTGTGTCTGTGTGTGCGGGTGTGTACCGAACCCAACACCCTTGCCCTCAAGGGGGAAGCCAAGTCCACGGCGAGCAGGTGTCCATGAGGCGGCAGCTCTTCTCCGGGCCGACAGGTGGCGACGTCGCATGGGGTCTGGTCCTGCGCGGTCACCCGTTCAGCGGTCATGAAGGGCGGTTGGCCGCTGCACTCTGGGCCTGACGACCTTGGAGACCACCATGTCCATGACCCTTATTTTACAGGCAAAGGACTCTCCATGTCTCGCAGAACAGGGGCTCCAACCCAGTTTCACGTGTTCTTTTCTCCTTGTGCAGCCTTCATCTCTAGAGAGGTGACAGTTTGCTGAAGCTTCAGGCGTGGGCGGGAGCTGGAGCTGGCGGTAGAGCGCGAAGGCAGACGGGACAGACGTCCATGAATGACCACAGTGCTGCCAGTGCGCTGTGTGCCGATTTGCCTTTCCTCTGTGGTCCTCAGACTCCAAGTTTAAAAAGCTGAACTTTGGCTTTAAAATACTTGGCGCCGTAGAGAAGACGTGGATGAAAAAGACACACAAGCTCACATTCTGCCAGGGCTGCTCCGGCGGGTACGTCGCTGGTCCTTGCAGGCAAGGCAGGCTGGAGCGGCTGCAGGGCGCCCTTGAGACTGTGTGTGCAGGGTGCTGCATGCGCTGTTAAAATATCGAAATACTTCTCTTCTGGTTAACATAGCTGTTGACCAAGTACTAGGTTTGCCAGACAAAATACAAAACACCCAGTTAAATTTGAATTTCAGATAAACAACAGATGATTTTTAAGTATGAATATGAACTAAATATCACCTTGGACATGTTTATACTAAAAATTATTTAATGTTTATGGTCGGGCACGGTGGCTCATGCCTGTAATCCTAGCACTTTGGGAGGCTGAGGCGGGAGGATCCTTTGAGGCCAGTAGTTCGAGACCAGCCTGGGCAAGAGTGAGACCTCATCTTTACGCAAAAACAGAAAAATTAGCCAGGTGTGGTGGTGCGCACCTGTAGTCTCAGCTACTCTGGAGGCTGAGGCAGGAGGATCACTTGAGCCCAGGAGTTAGAGGTTGCGGTGAGCTATGACACTGCCATTGCACTCTAGCCCAGGCAACAGAGCGAGACTGTCTCAAAACAAAACAAAAAAGCAAAAGACCAAACTTTTTGGGCTCATGGGGTCCACCCCCTGCTTCAGTCCCTCTCCTGGGACCCCCAAATCTTCACCCCAATGGGCTAGTGCCCAGTTTAACTGATTATTACATATTTTGACCATCAGCCCTGACTTCAAGGGGCAGCCAAATGCAACAGTTGTTCTCTTTTTCCCTCCCAGGCCTGGCACTCCTGCTGCCCCCAACCACATTGGCAGCCCTGGCGGACAGCTGGCTCCGGGAGGACTGCCCAGGCCTCAACTATGCAGCCTGGGTCGCGGGGGCAGCCCCCTCGCAGGCTGCGCTGTGGGCCAAATCCCCTGGGGTACTGGCAGGGCGGCCTTTCTTCGATGCCATCTTTGCCCAACTCAACTGTCAGGTCTCCTGGTTCCTCCCAGAGGGATCAAAGCTGGTGCCGGTGGCCAAAGTGGCTGAGGTCCGGGGCCCTGCCCACTCCCTGCTGCTGGGGGAACGGGTGGCCCTTAACACGCTGGCCCGCTGCAGTGGTGTGGCCAGCGCTGCTACAGCTGCTGTAGAGGCCGCCAGGGGGACCGGCTGGACCGGGCACGTGGCTGGCACGAGGAAGACCACGCCAGGCTTCCGGCTGGTGGAGAAGTACGGGCTCCTCGTGGGTGGGGCCGCTGCGCACCGCTATGACCTAGGAGGGCTGGTGATGGTGAAGGACAACCACATCATGGCAGCCGGTGGTGTGGAGAAGGTGTTTGTCCTACTGAGCCCCTGCCTTGGCCCTGGTCCAGCCCTCCCCTCCTCACACCCTTCCGCGCCAGATCCCCGCGGCCTGGCCTGGTGCAGAGCGATGGCCTGGAGTCAGGAGTGCGAGGCTCCTCCCTCCGCTGCCCTGTCTGCAGCATGGGGCTGGACTTGCTCTTTCTCTTTGTTCTTCTGTGGCCTTGGATGATGTTCAAGGCGCAAAGGACAAACCGCTGGGAAGCTGGTGTTGATCACTCCAACCCTCTGCACCTGTTTCCCCATCTGTGCAGTGTTCTGGGAGAACTCTTCTGGTTTTTATATTCTGAGTCAAATTGAACTCAGGTCCAAATGCCAAATATTGCTAATATGTGGCTGTTTTTACACCCACAAGTGTGGTAATTTCACGTGGTATGACTTAATATAAAACATCCCAATATCTGGTTTCCTCACCAATCCCAAGCTTGGTGACCATCTGGGGCCTTTTCAATGCTGGTCCCAGCTCCCTGCTCCTCAGGGCCAGGTGCCATCTGGTCCTCACCGCCACCCTCCCGCTGCCCGGCAGGCGGTGCGGGGCGCCCGGCAGGCGGCCGACTTCGTGCTGAAGGTGGAGGTGGAGTGCAGCAGCCTGCAAGATGCGCTGCAGGCGGCCGAGGCAGGAGCCGACCTCATCCTGCTGGACAACTTCAGGCCGGAGGTGAGGCGGGCTCTGCTTCCGGGGAGGGGCATGCAGGGGGCTCTCACTGCCCCAGCTTGTGTCCTGCAGGAGCTGCATGCCACGGCTGCTGCGCTGAAGGCCCGGTTCCCAGGCGTAGCTGTGGAAGCCAGTGGAGGCGTCACGCTGGGCAACCTCCCTCAGTTCTGTGGGCCCCACATTGATGTCATCTCTTTGGGGATGCTGACCCAGGCTGCCCCGGCCGTTGATTTCTCCCTCAAGCTGTTTGCTGAAGTGCCCCATGCTCCCCGGTCCTAAGGCTGAAGAGGATGACACTGGCAGTGGGTTAACGTGGCTTGCTGGCACCCTCGAGGTCACTGGCCAGCAGGGCACACTTGGTGTTACCCTGGGCTCAACTCCAGCTCTTCCACCTACTGTTCGTGTGACCTGGCAGGGCTGACTTCACCTCTGCTCACCTCAGTTTCCTAATCTGCAAAATGGGACTAATAAATGATTAACCTCATAGGGTTTTTGGAGTGGTAACTAACATGCAGTAAGTGATCAGTAAATGCTAAAAATTATTGTAGTTCATTTATTCTAAGATGCACATTTTTTTCACATGTACAGAAGTCAGGGTGCCCCTTAATCAACGGCGTCTCACAATCACTGTGAGCCAGGCTGGTGTCCCCATGAAGCCACTGTGGCCTGTGCATGTATCTCGTACACACAGAGGGTCCTTGACTTAGGATGGTTCAACTTACGATTTTTTGGCTTTACAGTGGTGCAAAAGCATACACATTCAGCAGAAATCGCACTTTGAGTACCCATAGATCCATTCTGTTTTTCACTTCAGTACAGTATTTGGTAAATGATATGAGATAGTCAACACTTTATTTTAAGATAACGCTCTGAGCACATTTAAGTTAGGCTAGGCTAAGCTATGATGTTTGGCAGGTTAGGCGTATTAAATGCATTTTCCACTTAAGATACTTTCACTTTATGAGGGGCTTATCAGACCTAGCCCCATTGTAAGTCAAGGAGCATCTGTATGTGATAAAAATCTATGTAGAAATTTATGTTGAAATAGGCCAAACGTGGCCGGGCACAGTGGCTCACACCTGTAATCCTAGCACTCTGGGAGGCCGAGGCAGGTGGATCACTCAAGGTCAGGAGTTCAAGACCAGCCTGAGCAAGAGCGAGACCCTGTCTCTACTAAAAATAGAAAGA